TGTGAAGCTTGGAATTGATCCCCCAAAGGGTGTTCTCTGCTATGGTCCTCCTGGTACTGGGAAAACACTGCTTGCTAGAGCAGTGGCAAATCGAACAGATGCTTGCTTTATTCGTGTTATTGGTAGTGAGCTTGTTCAGAAATATGTTGGAGAGGGAGCTCGTATGGTTCGTGAACTATTCCAGGTTAGATGTAACCTTGTGGGCAACTTTATAGCAAGTCTTTGTAGTTTTGATTGCTGATTACGTTTGTTTTGCACGGCAGATGGCACGCTCTAAGAAGGCATGCATTGTCTTTTTCGATGAAGTAGACGCTATTGGAGGTGCAAGATTTGATGATGGTGTAGGCGGAGACAATGAGGTTCAGCGCACCATGCTTGAAATTGTGAACCAACTAGATGGATTTGATGCTCGTGGGAATATTAAAGTTCTCATGGCAACCAATAGGTTAGTTTTTCCCTCTATGTTTAACTTTTTGTTTCAGTAGTCTCTCTCGTGGGTTGCAGGCGCTGGGACAACTTTGTGATTTATTGCAGCTTATGATAAATGAGTGATGCAAACTGGGTATCATATCCATGTCTTTCTCTTTCGCCAACCTACTGCTTTTATTTGCTTATCTATTAGGGATTTGACCTCAATAGCATACATTTCGATGTATATTTCGATTTTGCATGAACTTTCCTAGCAAAAGGCCACATCTGACTGAACTATATAAAGTATTTCTGCTACTTTTGACTGTGTGGTATAGCATTTGATTATCTCCCTTGCTGAGGGGATTTCGCCTGTACTCTTTGGACTCTTAGTTGTTTCCATTCATATGAAGTTGACTTGTGGTAAAAAGAAATAAAATTATCAGTTTATTGATTTTTGGTAGCTAACTGCTGATTTGTAGTTTGCGGCTTGTTCCTCTTTCTCAAATAGTAACTCCATTTTGTTTTTCTTTTTTGCTTTTTTTTTTGCAGGCCTGATACTCTTGATCCAGCATTGCTACGTCCTGGACGTTTGGACCGCAAAGTTGAGTTTGGTCTGCCTGATCTAGAGAGTAGGACCCAGATTTTTAAGATTCATACACGGACAATGAACTGTGAGCGGGATATTCGATTTGAACTTTTGGCACGTCTCTGCCCAAACTCTACTGGTAATCTCTCATATTCATTGATTTATACAAGAATTTAATTTTGAAGACTGATATTTTCTTTATCAAACCTAGTTCTACTTCTACATTTTTTAGATTCTGTTTAATACTACCAACATAGACAAATCATAATTAAAATTTAAGGTGTCAAATTTTCTGAGTGTAACTTTACTCTTTCCCTGTGCTTGGGAAAAATAAAACTAACTTGCCCATGTTTCCTGTTGAACATTGCACAAATCGATCCTTTAATCTAATTGTTGTACAGAGTCAAAATGAGAGTAAGGGAATATAGTCCTTTGGTAGTCTACATCACGAGTTGCACAAGTTGCTTCAATGTATGAGGTTGTATTTTGTGCAAAGTATAATAGCAAAGCCACTGTCGTTCCATTGATCCCAATCCCATTATTTTCTGGTTACATTCGGAATCCAACTTTACTTACATTTATCACAGACTTCTTTTATTTCTCACAGATTTTAAAATTGTAAACTCAAACTGTTCAACAGCAGTAATTAATGTAATCTTGAGCTGTTCTATTCCAGTGAATTATTGTGTATGCAACAACATACCCAGTTAATCCCACATAGTGGAGTGGCGGGGTTGGTGTATGACACACCAAAAATCTTTTGCATAAATAATGGGGTTGAAGTACCTAATTTTATAGCACCCACGATGTTTGATGCTGTTATGCCAATAGGAATTCTAGGGTAAGTACTTGCACATTGAAATCTCTGTGAGCTTGTCCATCAACCAATTTAAAGCCAAAGCTAAGGTAGCATCGCCAGGAGAAGTTGGAAGAGGTTGATATATAATTAAATTTGATGTATTTGAAGGTGAATTTCACGATAAGTTAGCTGCTTTTGCTAACTTTATGGATTTCAATAATACGAGGATTGTGGTTGTGGCTGATGGATGCCTATGTAATGAGTATATGGATATTTGTGGAATTTCATAGAGAGTGATGGTTGATATACTAGAGAAGGTTTGCTTTCACATAAAAGAGAAGTGATAAGTTCACTTGTATGTTCAACTTAAAATATAAAAAAATTGTAGTGATCAGATGTACGAATACGGAATACCCAGACAGTTGGGGGCTCAATTTTTACCTTTTCACTGATTTCTTTTATTCCAGGAGCTGACATAAGAAGTGTGTGCACGGAGGCTGGAATGTACGCTATTCGAGCAAGGAGGAAAACTGTTACAGAGAAAGACTTTTTAGATGCTGTCAATAAAGTCATTAAAGGATATCAGAAATTCAGTGCTACACCGAAGTACATGGTCTACAATTGATTGTGTTACTTTCTTTTCGGCATCCCTGGAGAAACAATGGAGCATTGGCAGGAACGGACTGACATTGCTGTTTGATATTTAGTTATCCTGTATACTCGATATGAGATTATGCTGTTTACTCAGTTTCACCATCCAGGTGTCCATTAGACTTTTTACCTTCTTATTAATCTCTGGATGCTTCTGTTTGTTGCCAACAAAAACACCGGACTGATTTGTGCTCTGTAATGCATGATGATTTGGTGTTTCGAGTTAAATCTAAGAAACTGTAATCTCTGATAGCTTCCCTTTCACTTATCTTAATTTTCTACCCATGGGTGTGTGTGTGTTGGATAATGTTTACTTCTGTCAGTTCTTCCGCTAGTCATGATAGTTATCTTATTGGCAAAGTAGAGCTGTTATTATCGTACTGGCATTAAGCAATTATATGTCCTAATTTGTCTAATACCTTATGCTAGCGTTCAGAATTTGTGCTAGCAACACTGTATTTTTGCAGGTGTTTCCTCAAGACTCAAGTGCACCTTCTAAAGCGAAAGTTGTCATACACTCTCTTCGTTAAGACGTATATATATATATATATATATATA